AATAAAGGGCCAACCACAGTGGCACAGGTGGTAAGGTGCCAATGTACAATTCAAAGCCATATGGAAAGGCCCAGTGTTCAGACCCTGAGGTGACCTGAGCATACTAGGAGGCCCATAGGCATGCCAATTATTTTGTCTGGCTGGAGAGGGGTCTCAGTGTGTCCATCCACTCCAGTCAGAGTCCGTTCCTTTCTCTCTTTTTCTCTAGCTCCCCTTTTTTCTCTCATGACAGATGAAATACAGTCAAAAAAAAAAAAAAACTCTACTGGTGTTTCTGTGTTTGTAGCTTCTTCTCATGTTTTCCTCTGAGTTCTGCCCATGCTATCATTATTTTTCACTGAATACTCCAAAGAAATTTCATCCTATCCTATGACATGGTCTAGTCCATACAAGAGATGCCTAAAGCCATTTGTCTAGTTGGTGAGTTTTAAATTCATGTATCAAATTATTTTCAGCATGAAAACAATCTACATGTCAGAGAGAGATTGCTCAACATGATGTTAACAATGGAATTTGTTACTCAATCTCTGCAAATCTTCCCATCCAGATGTACATCATTTCTAAATAAATAGCACCACCATTCTCTTAGCTATGAATACCAGAAGCTGTATTGACAGTTTCATGATTTCTATCATCAACATCAGTTGATGACTAGCTCTGCAAACTCTTGGAGTTCTCTGAATGCAAACTGCTAGCATTTCATATTGGATCTGCCTCAATGGGAACTCAATGGGAATCAGGTATTACTTCATACCTTTTCTCCTTAAGTGGGATGCTTTCTTTTTTTTTATTACCTTCATTCACAATTTAGACAAGGTCTAGCACCTAGACGAAGGTGTATATGGAATCAGTTTACTCTGCCTTTTCTTTTTATACAGTCAGTGCAGTAACATGGCCTATGGTAAGCCACAGGAGGCCAGTGTGATGCTTTTGATATGCCCAATTTTTGGATTACAGAAGCTTACATTCCTTTCATTATAAATGAAAAGATCTGTTATTAATCTTATAATCCACTTTGGAGCTTTTCAGGTATCTAAATAGTCCTGTATCCATATATTAAGGGTAGCCTCAATTCTCTTTGGTTCTCTAAGACCAATGTTCGTCTAATCAACCAAATGGCTTTGTAATCATCTAAGAATAAAAGCGTGTCAGTTAAAGGTGAACCTTACATTAGAAGCTAAGAGATTGGAAAACATTATACACAAGTTTTTCATGATTCAGTAATGAAGCATCTATATTTATAAGCAACTTTGCAGTAGCATTAGTAGGAGAGTAGTGTCTAAATGTACTGAATGAAATATAATCTTGCTAACACTACTTCTCAGATTTTTTAGGTTTTCTAGAATGCTAAAGATTTCATATTGACAGAGTTCAGGTAAAGCCAGGATTTATATACTTAATATAGAAATAGCATGAGAAAACATAAGAGAAATACAAAGTTAGGCAAAAAATAAATAAATAAAACTAAGGGTATATAAAATGAACTACCTTTCTTTACCTCAGCAAATGGTTTAAATATGTCAAAGTCATGTAGTTGGCAAATAATAATGCTTGATTGTAAAACATAAATTTCTAATGTTTGCTATTTTTAAAGAATGTTGAGTAAGTTTAATTTCCAAACTTAAAAAAGAAAATATTGTTTGATAATTTGCTTAAAATTTACTCAACATTCTTGTGATGCCCAATAGATAAAAGAATGAAGGCATGCTTATTCACATACTAACTAAAGTAGGTTTAATTCCAAATTTTAGGTACTGACCTCAAAACAATTATGGTACTCAGTTGAACATCATTTTCTTTCTAATTACCTGAATAAATTACTGTGTTCACTCTGCAGTGTGTTTTGATTTCACTTTGCCTATTGTTTGCTCTCAAACCTAACTGTCAACATTCTGAAGATGCTTTTCATTGGAGGCATTTCGTTTTCTTTGATGGAAATGAATAGTTTGAAGTGATTTTATTCTGTTCTCTGACAAGTGATACAATAGAAAGCGACCATCATATTCTGGAGACCATTCTTTCATCTTATAATTTTTTTTTCTGTTTTTTAAAGAGACATTCAGAAATAATAAAAGAAAAAATAAGAACATATTTAAAATCCAGAAAAAATGTAAACTCATTTTCTTTTGGAGATTTCTAACTTGGCCTTATAGATGGAGTGTAGGTGCAGTTGCTTCATTCTATTGAAATACTTCAGCATGTAATGGACACTTGACAAGTAATTTAGCATAATTTTTTTTCTAAAAACATTCTTTCCTAAGATTATTCTTTTGGGATATTATTCTTAGCTTCACCTGCTTTGATTTTGCCTGACTCACCAGATAAGAAATATTAATTTAGCACAATGTAGGTTATTTTTTCGTGCTCTGTGAATTACTACCTAATTGGAGAGAGGAGAAAATAAGAACAAGTTTCAATCTTTCAGTGACCATTTCAAATAAAATTATTTGTTATAATTATCACATGTGGAAAAATAAGTTAAATTCATGGTAAATCTGCTTGGTTTTAGATAGTTCATGAACTATGAATAGTGAGATCAAAATCATATTTATTGATCAGAATAACTTGGTCACAAAATTTATTTTTTAAGTAATTCTTTTCTAATTTGTCATGTTACTATCATTTTCACTTTAACTAAATTGAAACACATGTAAATGTTTTCCTGACTTTTTTTTTTTTTTTGATGAGGGTTTTAGAAGAAAATAAGGGAAATATTGTTAAACTCTTGAGTATAATAATTAAGCACGTATTTGCTTCTGATAGACAAAACAGAGCACCAGAAAGATCTATGACCTGCTAATAGAATGTTTTAAAAGAGAAATTTCTAGAATGTCCTAAATAAATATACTCTTGGGCCTTTATGAAAATATCTGAGTATTACCATAGAGTATTGTGGAATAGCTGGTCATTTATAAGCCTTTCTCAAAACCAACCAAAGTGTCTTTTCAAGTCCATAAAATTTCCATTTGTTACATATCATCTTTATGGGATATGCTAAATGTGAATGGTGAAAGTACAAAAGCACACTGATTTACTCTTTTTTTACTCCTAAAGAAAAATCTTAGGACTTTTTCTTCCTACTCTGATACTCCCATCACCCATACACACACCAGTATCCCCCTTCTGTTCCCTCACATTCTAAAAATCTCATCTATGTATAATTTTTCCAGTCTCTGCAGCCTGATCTGAAAATTTCACAGGTCAGCAGTGTAAGAAAGGAACAGTCACTATTTTCTCCACTGTTTCTGTACCTAGAGTTTCTCCTCCTTCTATCTTTCCTCCTTACCTTCCTGTTTCCTTTCCTTCCCACTTGTTTTTACTTCCACTAGCTCTGTCTCTCTCCACCTCTTCTCCTTCCACCTATTTACCCTCCTTAAATCATTATGCTACTTCTACTGGTTGTCCTAGGGTTGAGGTGGGAGAAGATGCAAGGGTTAAACTTATCTTCCTGAAGTGGTGCTATCGAAATGAACATTGGTGACTTCTCTGTTGTAGATATGAAGATTCTATTTCCTTTTTCCTTCCTTTGATTTTGTGGGTCATTAATATTCCCTTAATGTATATCTTTCCTGACATTATTTCCGAGAAAGGTGATTCTCTGAAAAGTTGATTCCTTAATGTCGCACCTCTGTTCCTGCATTTCATGGCATACAAGCATTCATGATATAGTGCCAGAGTTCCCTCAAGTAAGGCTTTTCAATACAGCTTTAGCCCAGCTGATTCTAGGGAAAGCCTAAGCAAATTTGGCATGCTCTTATGCTAATGTGGCTTATATCTCTTCCTGGTCACTAGGAGTCTGACCTTTTATAGTATGCGTCATGATCCAGAGTAAAACTCAGGAGACAACATATCAAGAAAAAAAGAAAAATTTATTGAGAGAAAGAGCAATTGGGGGTCTGAAATTTGAGGTCCCTTAGCTCACCCTCTAGGAAGGAAAGGGCTCTTTTATAAGGTAATCAAGCTATCCTGGGAGACTGTCTATGAGACATAGGCAGGGGAGTTCAGTCCAGTGAGATGAGCATACATGAAGCATTTGGTGGGTCTTGTTCATCCATCTCTAGGAAGTTAGATTCCCAGTACTCATTGTAGGCCTTTATCTGCTATTTCCTGGGTCAGTGTGACCTTGCAGTAGCAGCACCTGCAGTGTGGGCTCTTGCTAAGACCAATTATGCAGAAGTTCAACCTTGATTCTTTACCAGGCCTGGAGCAATACCAAATGGTGCTCAGGAGAGTTTTACTGCATGGGACCTTACAGTATGCCATGACCAAATCCACATTCCATGCAACGTTTTATAACTTGGTTTATTACCTGAGAATCTAAGTATGTTGTATTAGTATCATTCCTTAGATTTAATTATATAATAGAGTCTATAGGGCTATCAACCTGAAAGTGTTAAATATTGGTGTTAAGCTGCCAAAGAAAGATATGTTTCACTGTATGACTGAAGCCTGATGTTACTCACAAAAGGAGTGGACTATGTAACCTATCACGTATTATAAAATTTAATGTAATCCAAAATTTTGGAATTAAAGGTTAGGCAAAGAAATAACGCAGGGACACATGAATACAAAACACTCTACTCCTATACGATAAAGAATAAAAGCACAAATTTACTCAGAAACTGACTATTTTTAAATACAGCTGATAAATATTAGCAATTAAAATCTGAACTTTGTTGACTCATTTTCTTTATTCTCTCTCTCTGTCTCTCTCTCTTTTTTTTTTTTTTTCAAGAGAGATTTTTGCTGCAGGGCACATGTGCTTGCTGAAGAGACAGAAAGAAACAGACAGAAAATGAGAAACCATCAACATCCCCAAAGTGGGGATGGCCACACTACAATCCCTTCTCCACTCACCTCTCAAGATTTTGGTCATGCATGCACACACACCCAGTGGAGATTTTTTTTTTTTTGTGGGGGGAGAGGTTTTAACTATAAGGCGCGTGTGCTTGCCAGACAGACAAGAGAGAGACAGAGAGACAGAAAGAGAGAAATCATCCCCCAGGGAGAATGGCCACAATGCAATCCCTTCTCCTCCATTCTCCTCTTGGGATCTTGGGCACGCACGCACATGCGCCCAGCGTGAGTTTAAGCTACCGGGACCGGGATGCGAACCGTGGTCGACTCTGTGGGAGTCCAGCGACATAGCCATTATGCTAACTGCTGGTCTCCACCCAGTGGAGTTTTAAGCTGCCGGGCCTGGGTCTTCAACCGTGGTGGACTATGTGGGAGTCCAGTGATGTAATCATTACTCCATCTGCTGACCCCATGACTGATTTTCTTAAATGGAAAATTCTTCACAAACAATGGAATCTCCTTGAACTCCAAATTTTGGTAAAAAACAATTTCACCATAATGCAGTAGATCAAAACACTATGTTGTCAGAAAAGTCATGATGTACTTTTCTGTTTTTCAATGCAAAAATATGTCATGACTTTCCTGAACACCCAATACATTGACTAATTAAATCCTATCAAATAATTAAGTGTGTATTGTCTTTTAATTAGATAAATACTACAACATTTTTTCAATTTTTTTTGAGAGAGATTTTTGCTACAGTGTGTGTACTCTGACCAGAGACAGAGAGAGACAGAGAGATAGAAAGTGAGAAAACACATCCCAGGGGAGATGGCCATGCCACAATCCCTTTTCCTCCAATCTTCTTTGAGAGTTTGGACATGCATACACATATGCCCGATGGCCATGCCACAATCCCTTTTCCTCCAATCTTCTTTGAGAGTTTGGACATGCATACACAAGTGCCCAGCCTGAGTTTTAATGCTTCGGGTCTGCAATGCAAACCATGGTCAAGTACGTGGAAGTTCAGCAATGTAGCCATTAGCCAGCTGCTGGTCCCATTTTTTCAGTTCTTACTAGTTTTCAAAATAAACTGTATAACCAAAATATGATATATGACT